CTTGCGCTCTCTGTCTCACCTTCTCTCTCATGGTTTGAGTTCTTTCCCCCTCTCCATCCTCTTCATGCCATCTTCCCATCTGCATCCGCCATAAGACATCAAGTCATGGTCATGGTCATTGGAGGTGGGCAGGGTGGGAGAGGGGACCAGGCTGCAGGGTGGCACTTCTGGACAGAAGCTGGTGAGCATGGGGTCCCTGGGGCATGGTTGGTACAGGGCAGGGGGTGGGGGGCTCCCAGACAGCCTGTGACCCTCATAATCCCCTGGGGGGGGTCTCCTCCTTCCTGGGGTTGCAGGGCCCCTTCCCTCCCCTAGGAGCTTGCCGAGCTCCTCCTGAGAGAAGTTCAAGAGTGTCGGGCTCATTTGCCCCTCAGACCCCAGAACAGTTGCCCTGGGCACCCGAGCCCGGGGGCTCCGCCAGGGCCTCCAGCCTCCTCTTCCTCTTGTGCATTGGCCTGTTTCAGACCCTGGGGAAGCCCAGGGCCATAGCACCTGCTCACCCATCAGAGGAAGAGAACGCCTGCCTGGCCTGAGCTTTCTCACCCTGGGCCCTCGCGGGCAGCCAACTCCTACGTCCCTCTCCGAGCCCATCCCGTCTGGCCCAGCCCTCCCTGGGGCCCCTTCAGGTTCCCTGGACCATCGGCCCAGTCCTTGGGACTGTCCAGGGTAGTAAGAGGTGTAGCACCCAACTAGCCCCCCAGCTGGAGAGGTGGCCTGAGAACAGCCTTCCCCAGGCAGGGTGGGACCAGTCCACCAGAGTCCCACCCTTCCGCCTCCCTTCTCTTCAGACCTGAGAGGACCAGTGGGAAAGCAAGGTCACCCCCTTCAGTGCTTGAAGGGGAGGGCTCTCCCAGCCCAGCTCAGTGCCTGGTTGGGTGCGGGGCAGGGGCAAGGGGGGGAACGGGGAGGGGGAGAACTGGGTCTGTGGGATCTCAGCTGAAGTCTCCAGGGCCCCTCCCAACCCCTGGCCAGGAAAGAGGACGCCTGGCTCCGGCAGAGGCTGGGGGTGGGGGATGGTGTGTGTTCCTGGTAAGAGGACGAAGGGGCCCCTCTGGCCGGTCCTTCCCACCGCCAGCCTAAAGCTGGACAGCGTGGTCTAACCCCACGCCTCCCTCTCAGCAGCCCCACAAGGGCAGTGCCAGGCGGGCCCCAGCCTCACCGGGCTCTTTCCTGTCTCTCCTGCCCCCACAGCATTCACAGCGACAGGCGCCGCCTCTGCCAACCGGCTTGTCAGCATCGGACCCCGGGACGGCAACTTTCTGAACATCCCACAGCAGTCTCAGGTAGGAGTGCGGAGGCCAGCATGGGGGGGGGGG